TTTTTTTTTTTTTTTTTTTTTTTTTTTTTTTTTTTTTTTTTTTTTTTTTTTTTTTTTTTTTTTTTCTGGAGCTTTTCTTCCAGAATCTCTGACAGAGAAGCTAGTGCTGTCACTGCCATTACCAGGGTACTAATCAGCAAAGTTTACAATCATAATTTAGCTCCACGAAGAACAACAGTAGGGGAAATCAGTTTAAATAATTATATGCTGTGTATAGCACAGAAATGAGATTTTCACTTAATTAAACAAGAAGTAAGAGTGGGTGGGGGGAAAGCCAACCTTAAAGACCATCTGTTTTCAGAAGCGAATCCCACAATTTCTTTTTTCTTCGTTATCATTGTATTGTATTGATTTGTTATTTTAGTTAGGCCATAGTATTTAAAATGAGTTGTGTTCCTTATTTATTTAGTCAGCGGGCTTTGATCAGCTCCTTTAAGCAACATGATAACTTTTTTTTGGCATGACACGCTCCTGTAAAGCCCTTTTATAACTGTTACAGGGACTTTCTACTACCTCTACCAATCTACTGTTTCTTCTTCTTAACAGGTTTTTATGGTGTTGCAAGTCTAATGTAACTTAGACAATAAAGGGTTTGATTATCTACACTGCAGATTCTTAGTGTATCTGCCATCTCTCTCTCTGTCTCTCTCTCTCTCCCCCCCTCTCCCTCTCTCCTCCTCTCTGGTTTTTGTGTGGTTTATTATACCTGAGGTGTAGAAGATCTTTTTTAATTGTAGCTAAAGTGAAAGAAACACCTTCCTTGCCAGAGTGTTTTTGTATCCTGAATGTTGTGCACTGTCCAAAAGTTGAACTTGGAGAAACTTTTTCCATGGAACTAATCAGCTGCTACATTGCCATCATGCTGTTATCATTTGTGAAATTACTTCTGTCAGAAATGCCATGAACAAATCAGTAATACTGCAAAAAGGAAAGCAAATTAGAATGCCAAAATAGTTTTCAGTTTTGTATTTCAAAACCACTTTAAGTCCTTGGTGAAAAGCCTGAGTGTAAATTGCTGTCCCCATCCTATGGAAGACTCTGCTTATATGAAAACAACTAGTTAAAAAAATTATCCTTTGGAAAATAGCATTTTCTCGTTTGTGCACAGAAGTGTTCTGCTGTTAACTGACTATGAGTTAAAAATCTGTCACTGGAGGGACTTCCAGGCATTGACACCATGTACATTTCATGGTAATCCCTGTAAATGTGTGGCCACCTTCTACTGCTTTGGGGTGCTGCATGTTGTGGAGCACATGCCTATGTTTGTCACGCTCGATGTGTGTCAGAGCGTGTGTGACATTTCGAGCTGTTTTACAAAATTGCATCATTCTGGTGGGGATGCATTCCCCATTTGCTTGCTTTCATGCTCACAGGGTTCATGACCAGGCCTATGTTTGGTTTTGTTGTTCTTCCTTGCTGTATTCCATGCTGGGCTACTTAAGGCATATCTCAGCAGCTCCAACGGAGTGCTAGAATCACTGACTCATTGGGGGATTTCTCCTTGAAAAACCAGTGTGTCGCTAGAAGACCTGGAACAAAGCAAGAGGTAACTTCTTTATTAGGTTCTTGGTACATAAAATGCATTGTGTTAAAAGTTGGGAAGGTGCACTTTATGTCAAGTCAAATTTCCCAGTCCCTGTGCAAGCCAGTATTTTTAAGCCAGCAGTTCTGTGCAAAGCACTGAATGGCAGAGTCCTCTTCTGCCATGCTCTCTCCTTTCTCTTTTGTTGTGTTTGACAGCCCCATACTTCAGGGCAATCCAGTATTCAGAGGCAAAGCTCACGTGGATTCACAGGGAACTTGTAGGTGAGGAGTGCCTTCTTGATTCCAATATTTAGAGAGTAATTCAAATGAAATGGAATATATCAGTATATATAAAAATTCATTCCACTTTAGTTTTTCATTATAAATTACAAAACTATTGTTTCTGGAGCAGCTGGGGGTGTAAAAAAGTTGGCAGATTAGTGAAAGCATAGACATATTCCCCTATTAACTGCTTTCTGTGGGGCTGAACGTATTGCTGGCACTCTTGAGAGGGACTATAACCATGTGTTGACATCCTTAGCTGTCTCAAGGTAGACAGTAGCAGTGGCAAATCTCATTATGCCTATATTTTTTTCCTTCAGGTTCATTAGTGCTGCTTCTGGGAGAAAGAAAAAAAAAAACAAACAACAAAACCTAAACCCCAGAAAAAACTGTTTTCTTCAAGGCTGGTGGACAAAGGACAAACCATAGATGAAAAAAAAAAAAAAGATCCATGTGTTGGGTATAAGCAAGTATTTCCAAACTGATTGCCAGTTACTGTTCCAAGTGAGGGACACTTTCGCTATTGAGAGCGAAAAGGGTGTTCTGTTGGGAGTAGGAAGTAGGCACAGAACGGGGGATCAGTTTGTTGTGGCTTGGGTAAAGGGATCAAGATCATTAATGTGACTCAGCTCTGTGGGTTTGAATACTGAAGGGGATGTTGCCCATAGGGCCATAAGAAAAAGAGGTAGAGAACGCATGTGAAAGATCAATAAGGGGCTGAGTTTTGACTCTCTGAAATTCAAGTAAGTAGACAGAAGGCAATGTCTGAGAAAGGCCAAAGCTGAAGACAGGGCTAAGGAGAAGGCAGGAGTGGAGCAAGAGTTTTCAAGGAGAATCACCAAAGAGTGGAAATGTTGCCAAAAAGGACAGAGTCGAAAGATCAAAAGGATGTGGAGATAGAGCAGAAACTCTGGAACCTAACCAGAAGAGGTTTGTGCCCATTGCAAAGGGCTTCCATTTGTATGAGAGGGAGGAGGGAAATGCAGGTAGCTGTTGGGAGATGGATTAAAAACTTGAGAAAATAAGCACATTAACTTAACTGCAGTGAATCATCTCATTCTGCAAAAATGTTTTATTGTGGTATGAGCCTGAATGATGTTCTGACAGAAAATAGGGGAAGGCATTTTTGGATCTTTACTGTCTCAACTGATGGGTGAACCAGAATTAGGACTATAATTATGAGTGGCTGAGGCTGGACTGAAGGGTCTCATCAATACCCAAGGGGTTTTGAAAAGCATGTTGCTCTTTTTAAGAAACAAGCAGACTCTGATTAGCCCTAAGCAGGAGGGAAAAAAAAAAAAACCAAAACAAAAAACCAAGGCAGGCAAGAAGGCAGTGTTTTAAGCAGATGAACTGGAGCAATCCTTCGAGGGTGCTAGAGGGTATATTCAGATAGCATTCTCTAATATAGAATATTTTAAGATGCCTTGTGGTATGTTGGATAAGAGAGCTGGGGATGCTCAAAGCTGTTAAGAAAAAGTGGTCGATAGTAATATGGCTTCAGACACTTGGTGTTCTCCTTTGTTAAATCCTTTGTATCTCAAATTTTAAGTTATGGCTCATACAAGATTGGTACAGATGGCTTGATTTGTTTGTTCCTGTGTCAGTGTTACCTACAAAGGTGAGTTACTTGTCAAGAGTTTAGAAAATGTAAAGTACCCATGTTCCCTTTCTGCAAGTGAAAATCTCTTGTGTGTCATAATTTCATCATGATCAACCCAATTACCACAGGAATCTTAGAAGATTTTTTTTAAGCAGAGAAAAATGTTTTATTTATCTTCTAAATATTCTTTGTTCTGGTATGACATAAAATAAAAGGGACACTGGCCCTCCAGTTCATCTTACTCCCAGAATTCAACATACTTTTCTGGGACAGGATAGTGTTGTGCCTTGTCTGGGACAATTAATGAGCCACTAGTGGTTTCTGAGACCTACAGCTTGCCACAGAGTGCTGGAGTGGTGCTCCAATAAACACACTTCTGCTAGGGATCTCCTTTGGCTAAGGCACGTCATGAACCAAACCGTTTCTTGCTTTTACCAGAAGTTTTCACAAGAGTCATACTGATACTGTGTGGACACTGGGTCTGTTCTTCCAGATGGGAGACAGTGGTGGGAGGTCACTGTGGTCAGCTCACCCACAGAGGACTTAAATGGTAACCAGTTTGCTGGCCACTGCTTTCCCAACCTTTTCTTCTTCATGTGTTCATCTCCTTCCTCAGCACAGATGCAGGTGATTGTTTGCACTATGGAGGAAGTGACATCTCCAGAGCAGTGGTGAGAACAGGCAGCTAAAAAGTGTTTCTCTCAGCAAGAAGTCCACTCCAGGGGCTTGACAAGAGTTCTATCACCTCTGCTAGAGTTTCTTCCCTGACTGTCCTGTCAAATGGCAAATGCTTCTAATAATGAGCAAAAGCCTGCCGTGAACATGGGAATAATGATTGTTTTTTCACAAGTTTGGGTTGCTTTTTTTTTTTTTTAAATATTGACAAGAGCAGAGAGCATCTCTGGACTTCACTGTTAGAGAGACAGTATGGAGGAAGCTTAGTGCAGGATGCAATATTAAACGCATTTTGTATCTGTAGGAATGGCAGTCTACAGGCATGCTCTAGGGTCTCTCTGCAGTGGCGGATTTGTGGAAATTTTCTAACTAGAAGGTGAAATGATGTGGTAATTTGCTCAGGTGATCAGTCTCTGGTTGCTCACTGTCCCTGCTTTGAGAGGGCAAGGCTGCCTGCTACTGCTGGCCCTGGACTGGTGCTGGGGTGCTGAGGGGGGACATGCACTTGCTGCTTCCCCAGCAGTGACATGCATGCATGGCTCT